ATAAGTAGCAACTGAATATTTTATGCTGCAAAAAATAAATATGAAATTGAAGCATAGCTCGTGCCCTGCTGAATGTTAAGCAATAAAGTTTAGGCGTAATAATTAGTTAAGCGTAACTCCTGTATATTGCGACAAAGGTTTAAATAAAAATGCTTTTAAAATTCTGAAATTAAACACATTTAATTGCCTCATTTGAAAAAACGTCTGATATGCACATCATCGCATAAAATACTTGTAAGACCTATTAAATTATATACATTTTTTCTGCACTTGATTTCAACATATTTCCCCGAATTTCGTTAGATAAATTTCTCATTCAAGCAATTCAGTTCTCACTTCGCGGAGAGGCCAAAAAAATTTCCAAAAAAAAAAAAAAAAAAAAAAAGGGGGGGGAAAGGCTCCAAAAAAAGGCCTTCTCGGAAAGGAAAAAAAAAAAAAAAAAGTGTTAAATACAGAAAAACAATTTAAAAAAAAGTTTGCAATTAAAATTAGGGTTTCTACATAGCCCCACTAGTGGCTAAGATGTTAAGACCGCTGAATACTGGTAGTTCGACCGAGGATGCCTAGACGGGAAAGTGGTTAGTGACTCTGATTGCCGTACCAAAAAGGCCCAAATTCGAATCCCAGATGGATGTGAATTGTCTGTCTCTTCAAAGGGGGTAACTATGGCCGCCTATTTGTTGCCTCCACAATTAAATGGCCACCGCTTCCGCCATAAAAAAAGTTTCTATGCCAAAACAAGCAGTTCGACCAACGGGAAGAAGGACAAGAATTTGAAGTTAACTTTTGCTCCCATTGTAACCAAAAGACTCTAAGTTGGCGCACCAACTGACTTAATTCACTATACCACTAAGAGTTTCAAATGTAAACAAATAGCCATCCTGTTAGGCCTAGCGAAACTTGCACTTTTGTTGATAATTCTACTACTATTGGATATAGAAATTAACTAAATGCATGAAAAACCTTAACCGTAATATAAGAACGAAATTCTTATCACTTTTAAAACAAAAAATGAACAATTTACCAACATATAAGAATAAAAAGAACGGAACTCACCGAGCCGAATAAGAAGGTGAGTATACACATATACGTGTGGTTCGGGAAATTGAACAAAAGGGAGGTGCATAACTAGGTATTCTAGCAGTCCTCATATACAAAATTCCAACGTTCCACCGTTAATCGTTTTTGAGCTATGCGAGATAAGTATATACTAAATACCTACGTACGTACGGTGAGGACGTCAAGAAAACGTCCCTTCTGAATCCCTTTAAAATCCATTTTGCAATTCGCTTTGGGAAAAAAGAGGTATTTTGTCCGTACGTAGAGATGTCACGCAAAAAAAATCGTTCAGAGGGATCCGAGAGAGCTCAAAACGGACATTTTCGTTGAAATATGATAGCCGAAATTTTTCGCTCTTACAGTAATTCCTTTACTTTGTACAAAGAAAGAAAAAAAAAAGAAAAGAAAACAACATGTCAACTTTTTTAGTATGTGTAAAATACTGAAGGGAATATATATAAAATACTGTTTATGATGACACATATGGTCATGGATTAGGATTGGATTATTCAATTATAGCAAAGCACACGAAGGCTATCTGCCTAAAGGGAGGGATGCCTTTGTGGAAGACTTTCTAAGGGAAACTGGCTCGTATACACGTCAAACATGGAGAAAACCACGAAAACGCCCATGCAGCCAGCCGGTTAGCAGGATTCGAACCTCGAACCGAACTACAGTGTTCAGCGTCTTTACCGCTCGGCCGTGGTGGGCCATATCTTAATAGTATTTATATATATATATATATATATGTAAGATAAAATTCGACAGAATTATAATAAATATAAACATTAATTCTTCGCTCTTATTCTAAAATCGTAATAATATCTGCATTGCGTCATTCAAATTAATCATGCGATTTTACGTAACCGTTAATACCAGATGCCTCTGACGACCAATCACCGAATTGTAAACCAAAAATTTTCTCCTCGCGTGCCTCCATCTTTCATAACTACGCCTGCAGCTTTTGCTCGCTACGTGCTAAGATGTGATTTCGCTGGCTTGCTTTTATCCCAACAATATCAAAAATGTAAATCTTCTGTGAAGGCACGGACTAGAGTGCCAGTGATGTGGCACAAATATCATGGGAATAAAAAGGAATTAAAACTGCCTCGAGCCAAGTTTTAAATACTCGCACAAAATTCTCCTTCAATATGGGTTAATCACGATCTACAGTGTTCCGTCTTTCCTTGTGTTTTTATAGGAATATAAATAATAAAATATATAGTATATATAAAATATTGTTTAATATGACGTACAAAAGTATGTATTATACGTTTATCTGTATGATATACTTTAATGATGAATATTGATTATATGATGGAGTAATACTTTGTAGTCCTTCAGGTCACAACGGGATTAGAATATCAGAATATAAATATCATTATAATGGGTATTAAAACGCAATTCATTGAAATCTATTACAATCTGTGCAAACTTCTTTTGTATTCTTACGCTGCCGTGTCCGAAGTAAAATTTCAAATTTTGCGCCAGTCTTGAAACGGACATTGTAGATGCATTACGTTTCAGTTTGAACACTAGCCTCATTTTTAGCGAACTACAGACTCAGCATCGTTCTTCATTTCTTTAGCATTCTAGAATAAAACAAAAAATGGGGTAATGTACATGATAGTCTGTTCAGATTTGCAGCTTGTCTTTTTAACTTATCTGGCAACATAGATTTGCGCCACATTTTTGTTCACAGAAATTCGCCCGTGAATTTGATTCTGTTACTTAATTCATTCAAAGATAACCGTAATAATAATGCATGCTAATATTTGTTGCTTTATGCATAAATACACTACGAAGGAATCTATGAACTAAATATTACTAAGCAAGAACTCAACAGCAATTTCTGCGGGAGAAATTTCACTACTACGTATCAAGTGTTGTTAATAGCACAAACGTAACACTAAACAAATTATTTAGTATCGAACCTGCTAATTTTTTTATTCAAATTGATTGGTTTAGTTACATAGCAAGGCACTAATATTAAAATAAATATTTGAGATTCTGTGTTTTAGAAACTCTAAAATCATATCGAAAAAAATTACATAGCATGCAAAGTCAATGCTTTATTACTACACTTAGCAGCACGTTATAAAAAAAGTCTTCCATCACATTCTCAAGAGTTGCATAAATCTCAAGAACGGAGGATTACGGATGGTATAATACAAACCTTACAAAAGTGAGTTTGACTGAGATACTTCACTGAGGCGTACTTATCGACAGAAGTGCCGATTTCGGTTTGGGGAAATCAATAGTGGCAGGTCCTTCTTCATTGGCAGTGGCCTGTGAGTGAAGAATCTCAATTCATTATTTTTTGTCAGAGGAAAAGGTATTGCTGGCGCAAGAGTAAAATGTATCCTGATCGATATTTTGGGGTGTAAAGAAGATTAGGTTTTGTTTTATGGGATTCCTTTTTAATGATACCCAAAGACTCTGGTCGATATCGAATCGGTGTGCAGCCATGAGATCTAAAATTACACAAATTTAGTTTCCTAGCTGGGGTCTCTTGCCAAAGTTTTTTTGGAGCAGAGAAAACTGAATTATGTATCTTGACAGCATTGAATTTTATTATTGATTCATTATTTTTTCATGACGTCTAAACTCGATTATATTTTACAAGCCTATTATTATAAAATGTCTTCCTATAGTAATTGCTTTATTCCTATCAATAGCTACTTCTGTGACGAAGCTGTGGAATAGTACTAATTATGAGTACAGAAGGGGACATGTTTTCTGAATTCCGTTAACAGAAAATGCCTACTTTATGGAACAAGGTATGTTATTTGCTTAATTGTTTCACGAACAGTTTTTGGTTCATCCACATTTATTGTGGGGGTGTTCGTCACTGTAGAAGTAAATTATAATGTTAAAGGCAGGTAAGTCGACCTCGAATTATTTATTTTGCCTAAACTCGAATGCGCCAGCATGTTAAGAATTACCGCGTGTTGTAGATTTATCTTGTTCTTTGGTTAATGAGGTATGTCCAGGTTAACTCAGTTTACTAGTGTCTTCATTTGGAAGCCAGAGTCTTTATTTAACTCAATTTATTAGAGTTTTTATTTGAAAGCCAGGCTGCACAGATGGTATAGTTGATAGGGGAGCCGACTGCGATACCGGGTTCGAGTCCCGGACAAGGCAAGGTTGTAACTGTCCGTCCCCTGCATAGGAGGCAGAGGTTGCCCACCTATTGGGTGCCACCATAATAAAGTGACCACCACTTCTGGCCTTAGTGGCCAAGGTGAAGTTGGCTGAGGGCCAGCCGTTGGTTAAAAGAATATTATTTGGAAGACAACGAAAATGATTAGAATGTCATCCTCGTAAATCAATAATAAGAAATAGCCTTAAATAAAAATAGAGTTTTATGTAATTATTTTCGTTTAACGTTGAAGTTAATAAAACCTTTGAATAACATAACGTGAAAAATCCAACGCAAAATAAGACACAATCCGTAAAATAATAGCAAAATTGGTTGGCAGTATTTGGCTTGGTATATTTTGTGATGTGTTGTCAATACTTGAATTATGCAAAGTGAATGATATTCCATAACCTAAGATTTTCTTATACTACTCGGACACTGGACAATGTCAAGCCGTGAAGGGGAGCAATGTTTTTTTTGCCAGTCATGATGCTACATTATACTTAATATAAATTACAAATATGTAAACGTATAACAGATGAAATTTAATGGGCTAAATCTGCTTGATAGGAAACGATTAAGCTACGATAAACCTGCTAGGATGGTTGATGGGTATAACAGTGTGTGCTTTTCGACTGTTGCTCATGAACTAGTATTTGCATACTAAATAATTTCATGTACTCAGTTCATTAAAATAAAAAGAATTTGTCTTTACAGAAGGTTTCTTCGAGAAAATTGCGTATGATCAGATATTTTCGTTTTCGTTTTTTAATAAATGTTTTTCATAAGGTGAGATGCATTGCCTTTTATATCGTTCTTTATTCTATAAAATTTAGAGAAGTGTTAATTGTCATATATATTAGGTTTCAGATTAATGTTTTCGTAAAAGTAAATTGAATACATTAACAAAGGCAAAAATTTACATCATTCACTGAGTTAAAACGTTTGTTTCTTTGCTCTGTTGCTATATTGTCCGGAGTACCAGAGCTATCAACATTATCGCAAAAGGTCTGTTCTTCGATGAAATTCTGAAACTGAGTGAAATATTTTGATAAAACAAAAATTCGTCGTTTTCCACGTTCTTTTCATGAAGAAATCTGTATACTCTTGGCGGTGACGGAAATGGAAAGGTGCCACAAGTTCAACCCTTCAGATTTAGAGCTTCCGGTTGCAGTGAAGAATGAGGTTTCATTTCCTGGAATGAAACTTTAGCAGTTGCGTTATCTTAAGTTTAAAAAATACCATATCCATAGTTTAAACTTCAATAAATTATTCATTACCGACAAAAACGATGGAAAGTGAGTTTCTTCGAATACGCCGTCAGCATAGCCTGAAAAAGAAAAGAAATTTTAACTGCATTAAATACGTAAAACTACGCGTACCTGCATCGTGACTTCAGTACTCTTTAAAAAAACATTCGATAACAATTTAAGAGTTCCTTACAATTTACTTTTATGTCTCTCAGTTCATCAAGAATTTTGATATTTTGTTCTGAACGAGCATTAAAGAAATGAATATACGTGTTCGTTAACTATTAAGGGTAAAATAACTATTAAGTGTAAGTAATACAAGATCTATACAGCTTAATCAATATTTCAGTGTTATGAAATTTTAACAAACAATTTATATATTCTTAAATTAATTTCTGTTCTTTAGGTATTCAAGTCAAACTTATCAATTCACAACAGTGCTCGCATATTTAGAAATGTATTTAAGGATTCAGTTTCCTTCACTGTCTTAAAAGTGTAAATTCGGAACTGAATTTTTTAAGATCCATTTTAATTTAATCACTTTCTGCCAAACTGGAATTCAAAGTGAAAACTTAAGATCTAATTATGCTGTTAAAATAAAAGCGACTAGCAAATAAAAAGCTAACATTAGTTTTCACTGCAATAATTGTAACAGCTTAAAACGTGATAACAACTTGTCAGGCTAGTTTAAAATTTTTTAAAGATTTCTGATTTCTAAGTATAATATAATTAAATAGTATAAGACATGTTATCGCATGCAAACGTTATAAAGTAATTAAGTTATTAAAGACCATACCAACAATTGTTTTTACAACTAATAACTATTTATTAAAGAAAGCAAAAAGGAAATTTAAGGAGCACAGTAGAGCATTTTAGAATTGAATACAAAATTTGTATTTCTCAAACTCTGATTAGAATTTAGCCATAAATTAATGGATAAGATACTGGCATCAAAGTCGTTTGCACTTTTTTATTATTTCAAGAAATGGTATATCAATATATATGCAATTACATTTCATCATACAATTTATCGATTTGTCTTCTTTAGACATTGGATCAAAAAATTATATTTTTATTTTTTAAACAATATTTCAGTTCTTTGATATTAAAATTTCAAATCTTTACTGAAGTGAATATTTCTAAACTAAACATGTTATGCTTTTGCTTCTCATTTCTTCTAGTGAATATCATTTTTATTCATTGTTGCTGTTGCTAATGCTTCCTTGTCTGACGTATAGTCAGCCCAAACTCCTCGTGGCAAGGAGCGCAAGGTACGCCTGTCGTTGTCAACAGCCTTGAGCACCTTACAGGTGACAGTGCAATTTAGCTCCATGCTCCTCGTAACTTTCTCTGTCTGCTGGAACTGCCTCCGTTGACGACGGCCTGGCATTCTCTGCTATTATACGCGTCCTCTGAGATGAGAATAAATTTTCTACGATGATACCCTAACAGAAATAACGGCATGAAAATGGTACATTCTGCGTGTTACTTCCCTTATCTCTTCTTCACCTTGCGCTGGAGAGTTGCACATTTCACATCATTCGCATAACTCGGTGACGCACGTCTACCCTGAAATCTGCATAATTTTCCGACCACTCTTTCTTGCTGTTGCATTTTCGATGTCGGGTGATGTATATAATTTTTGGTAGCTCTGCAGATATTCTTTTAGATAATAAAGTAAAAATTCCTCAATGCTATGATATCAGTAAATCTGAATTCAGCTTATCACCCTAGTCTAGGAACCATCTCAGACTACGGAAACATCAGACTAAGAACCGTCTCAGACTCAGTATGCTATTTGATTTTCCTTTTCACTCTCTTGCATTGGTTTCTTATGAGTCATTGCATGAAAAATGCGATAATCTGTTAAAATTCCATGCCATCATCCTTCCTGCATTTCTTCATCCGCATTTCTGTGATAGCTTCATTTATGTTTTTAAGCACGTGAAACAATTTGAACAAGATTTTTCCTCTTTATTGGCAGAACTCTTCCTATTTTAAGATGTCACGAACTGGGATTAGCGGTTATGGAGTAACCTCTTTTTAACCTCATTCTAAGGCGTAATAATGAGCCTCACATCACCAAAAAATCACAAATTTCTTTCGAAAGTCATAAATGTTTCTTCTTCTTCAGTTTCAGGATATTTTTAGGAGATGTGCGGAAGATTATTAAAACGGATTATTCAAGCACGGATAATCGTAATTTCAATGTATATCCTTATGAGCAACAAAAGGAAAAATATTGTTTTTACTTGATGTTAAAAGTTTGCGCCTTCTAACCGGGATAGTTGTTAGCGATGGTGACTGCCATACCGAAAGGCCCGGATTTGAATCTCTGAGAAGGCATGGATGTTTGTAAATGTATAGTGTCCATGCGGCATAAGGGAACTCTAAATATGCGACGAGTCGAAAATCCTCTCGAGAGGTTGATGGCAGGGGAAGGGGCTGGGAGACCGCCGAACTATGTGTTCTCCATCAAAATTGGGGGTGGAACTGAGCGAAGTCTTACTGGCACCTGTATGGTGGTCAAAGCTTTTGCCAATGACATGAATACTATATCCAATGGATATCTTCGAGCAAGATATAATGAAAGTATGATAAGTGTTGATAAACTTGCTTTGCTCTACTTCACACTTCCACACCGACAGACTTCGGCATTGTTGGTTCTTCATGTTGTCTTAATCAACTGATGAGTGATCATCTCATCCTGTAGAATGAATACATTTAAGCGATCGAAAAGTCTAGACAATAGTCAAGGAACTAGGCTTATCAACCAGACCCCACTGATATAGCCGATAGCATAATAAGTGTTGTGAACTGAAGTGAAATGCAGCTGGTTTAGTATGACGTCCGCTTTTAGAATGTATAAGAGTAAAAAAGTTAGTCTTCAGCTGAGTAGGATGTTGTGTTTGTCCTTGTATGTTTTATGGGCTTTCAAATAAAGTGTTTCATGTTTTCGGAATAACGCCTGTCTTTCTGGAATTTACAACACTCTGCATCGGGTAGATGCGAACCCAAGAAATTGTTCTAGCTTTCCGTTCTCAACAGTAAGAAACCTTTAAGTGCTGATACGTTGCTTAGATTACAGAAGCCGAAACTTCATTCTCCAAGCCTAACCGAGTAACAGTGCTTTAGACCACGTCAAGAGATTCTGCATCTGATTTGGACTCAAATCAAATAAAGAAACAAAATCTAACCTTGACTTTTTAATATGGTAGGCGGTCGAAAAGCATTAACCTAGACAAGAGTCAGAGAATCAGATTTATCAACTGGGCAACGGAGTTCACTACTGATAGAAACAACAAGCAGAAGTAGGTGTATGTCAAGTGAACACAGGCGATATGGAATAGTCCCAGAAGCTGTGAAAATGTCTTTAAGTAATGCAAAAATATGGTTTACTGATACGAGTGAAAATGGTCGCTAGGACGTCATTCTTTTAAGCCACAATACTTACCCTTTTGTGCAGTTTCAGCCAAAAGATGGTGGTCTTTTGTAACAGGACACAAGTCCATAATTCGATATCCTAGTAGCAGCTAGGACATGGCTGGATGGCATGGAAAGCCTAATTTTCCCCTGTCGAGCTCAGGATTTCCAAAAACTTACCTTTTCTTTCTGTGTGTTGTGACTTATCTCACTTGTCTGACAGTAACATCAGGACAAGCCCACGTAATTCCTCGGGGCAAGGGATGCAAGATTGCGCCTGTCAATAGCCTTGAGCACTATACAGGTGACAGTAGGACTTTGCTGAGTTCCATTCCCAGTTGTGATGGAGAGCACCCCGAAGGTACGGGTCCGAGGGTCTCCCACCCCTCTTTCCCTACCATTAAACTCTCGAGAGCACTTTTGACTCGCCGCATATTTAGAGTAGTCCCATGCCGCACGGACACTATACATGTACAAACCTTCACCGGGATTCGAGCCCGGGCCCTTCTGTACCGCAATAGGCTTCCCTAACGCTATATACCGTCTGGGCGAACCTCTTCATTACACCGTCTGAATGAATGCATTTAAACAAGCTATCTAAGTGACCTACTACCGCCCAGAAAAGTTAGTATTAGTATATGATATCATTTGGGTGTAATGAATTATACTGTATGGCGTTTTCAGATAGACTGAACGGTTCAATATATAATCAACGTTTGGTTGTAGACTAATGGACCAGCTAAAAAATGAATCGAATAAGAGACTCTTATATTGACTAACTACGACTAACTAACTACTCTTATATTAACTAACTTTCTTTATATTGAATAACTACGAAGAAAATTCCAAGTATTTTTCCATTTTATTCCTTGTCTATTAAAGTTGCATGTTCCCCAATGCAAAAAAAACTGATTGCAAAAATTATCGAAATTGCAGGATTTAATTTACTTCACCGGAAGAAAAGTGTGGCTTTTAAGACTCATATAACATTACCTTTTACTAAACGTAAAATATTGAATTTCAGCATTTTTGCAAGTGATAATTTGAAAGCAATTTATGTAAATAGATTTTTTTACCGAATACTGGTGTTACACCAGTTCTCCTCGTGTCTGTCTTCCTTTTCTCGAAACCCTAGAATAACATTCTTGTGCATAGCTGCATTGAATACAACCCACCCTCTTCGCAATATATATATATATATATATATATATATTGCGAAGGAGCTATATATATATATATAGCTATAAGGATATATATATAGCTATAAGGAGCTATATATATATATATATATAGCTCCTTATAGCTTGTTAATTCAGTAAACCATTGTTGAAATTGCATTCGGAAAATTGGCATGCATAGTCGTCTATAACTATACTTAAAAACCACCCTAAAAATATTTTCATATTTTCTGCAGCAATTTTGACGTATATCAAGGATTTTATTTTGTTTCTCTAATTTTGCCATGGAAAATATTTTTGACATTAGCTGCGAAGCCTGTGTAAGATTATTATATTTTTGCTAAAAGGTATTGTGAAAAAGCTCTCAATACTGTGAAATGCCTACCTTACTACAATCATTCTTTAAATCCAAGGATCTATGACCATGCATCCGTTCAAGAGACACTTAGATGTAAAAACTTTTTGAAGTACTCTATATGTACTAGTATATGTTTTACAGGTTATCGTGCTAAGCCATGTGGCTTTAATTTTCTGACTTAAAGGAGTAACCGCATTTAACTGGCAACATTTTCTGATATTGATTTACCCGAATGTGCCTGAATGCAATTAATAACGTTAATTTCAGTTCGCAACTTAAACCTATACGAGTGGAACAGTTATGGATGTCATCGACAAATATTTCATTCATTTGATGATAAACCGTAAGAAACTTGCGTGTGTACTGTCATAATTTAAAATTAATTTCAGTTTATTTTTTTAATGTTTTTACTTAACGTAATCTACACTTAATTCTTCTAATTTAATGTATTCATAAATTTCATTCGCGATCTTCTTTCCTTTGTCATGTGATCCTTGAAGATGTGAATTATAACGTAAACAAGGAGGAAAACTGCAGTTGTTCGTTTAGGAAGGGTCGGTAAATTGGGAGCTCTTAAAACAAATCTCGTTTCTTACTAACATTTCGTGTTTTCCAAACTGCTGTTGATAAGTCCTAAGCTAAACCATCAATAACATTTTAAATATATTTACGATTTGGCCTGAGAGTTATCAAATATTGATTTACTACAAATGTTTTATTAAAGGGTATAAGAGATAATCTCAACGCAGAAGTTTAAATATATAGACTCTGAGAATGCCCTTTTAAAATTTGCCCTCGTAAACAAATGATGTAATTTTTAGCCTTGAAACAACTAAGGCAAGATAAGAAAAACAATTAATATCTCTCTCAATCTGTTGTTAGAATGAGTGATTTGAAATGGGACACATTCAAGATATTTGCTCTAATTCTATTTTATAACAAGGACAGGCTATTCCAAGGAGGACGCATGACGCCATTTACTAATTATGAATCAGTGCCTTAGCAATTCTTCAACAATAGATAATTTGAAGGTCACATGACAATCAGCTGTCAAGGGTCAGTTAGATAGCCATTGAGGGTTTATTCACTGACTACAACGTTAATCTGAAGGTTTTAGTAGATACAGAATTCCCTTCCTGGTGAACAAACAAATTATTTCAGAGATATTCATCCTAGAATGCTTTTGCTCGTTAGTACTTTTTTTAAAAGCTTTAGATTTATTTGCGACACATTCTGACCGAAACTACAGTAATATAAGTGGAGCGGTATGAAAATTTGATTAAATACGTAGACTTCAGACTTTCACCCATTCTTTCAGACGTTTACTATCAGATAAATAAACAAGTTGGGTTTATTTCCTTATTTATTTAATATGGCGAAGTATACTTTGCCTAAAGACAGGGCTGTCTTATTGGAAAACTTTCTAAGGAATGTTACTTCATATTTATCTTATACATAAGGAAAACCTCGAAAACCCTGTTTCATCAAGATTTGGTTCTGTGTCGAACTACCGGTTTCGCGCAAATTTAGTCCCGATTCATCTTCTTATAATGTATTTCTCCCGCCTTCTTCGCATGTCTTCGTGGTGTAGTGGTCAGCACGCTCGACGCGTATTCGAGAGGTCCGTGGTTCGAGTCCCGGCGAGGTCATTGCTCGTTTTTCAATTCTGCTGCTTTAAAAATACCTAATATCTCTACAGTGGCGCCCGAACTAAAAAAGGTGTTGGATGATAATTCTCCATCACTAGGGGTTGGCAATTACGTCCCCTAATGCTCAGTCACCCTTTAAAAGGGGAAGTATATAAGGTATTTCTCCCGCCTTTTTGGCATGCGTTCGTGGTGTAGTGGTCAGCACGCTCGACCGCGTACTCGAGAGGTCATTGCTCATTTTTCATCTCTCCTGCTTAAAAAAAAAAAAGAAAGGAAACCTAATGTTTCTACACTCTGTTTAAAAATCAAGCCGGTTTAGGGCAGATTTAGTCCAGATTCATCATCTGTTCAAAATCATGCCGACTCATCATTGCTGGCGTTTCCCATCCATCCCCCCTCCCCTCATTTTATCTCTTTTCCAAAAGTCATTTTCTGAGACAACGAGTGGCCACTTTTTCGAATTCAAACGGCTTAAGAAAGGTAGGCGTTGTTGTTTTTATCTGGCTTAGTTTTCGATTTCTAATATTTAATAATCATTTCCTCCGGCAATCTATTTTACTCGGCCATTGGTCTTGGACACTTGGCCATTGGTAATTTCATAGATGTTAGATGTCAAGCAGGTCGCATCTTAAGGTTTTTGTAGTTGACTGATTATTTAAAAAAAAAAAAAAGAGTTTATCTACTTCAAAAAAAAAAAAAAAAAAAAAAAAAAAAAATTACTTCGTGGAGGACATTTCTGAATGCAGACTGGCTCCTATTTAACATTACACATGCCATAAAATTCTCCTGCATTCATCCGGTAAAGCCTACTATATAAAACGTGTACTGATTAGGGACACTCTTCGGTGCACTTTGGTTTATTTGATTATGGCAAAGTTCGAGGGCTGTCTACCAAAGGCGAAGGGTGCCTTCATGGAGGACTTTCTAAGGTAAACTGGTTGGTATATGCGTTACATATGGGAAAAACCACGAAAACGACCATGCAGCCAGCCCGTTCTCCAGGATTCGAAAACGGACCGAACTACCAGTGTTTAGGGCCTTTACCGCTCGGCAGCTCAATGCACTTCTGTAAGACTGCTTTATAATCTAGAATTTATTAAGAATTTTTTAAAGTATTAATTGGCTAGTATTCACACTCCTGAAAATAAATCTAACTTACAGTTTTCGAACCTTCATGTCCTTGTGATCCACATGTTTTTAACTGCAATTTCTCACGATCCGCTAGAGTATAACTAATCTTGTTTAGATTATCTGGATACTGCGAAGAATACGAAGGCTCTTTGCCTAAGAGGAGGTATGCCTTCACGTAGGACTTATTAAGACAAACTACCTAGTACTCATATTACGCGCAAGAAAAACTCCCAAAACCAACCATAGAGCCAGCCCGTTCTTCTGGGATCGAACTCAGGTCGAACGCGCAGTGCTCAGCAGTTCTCAGTACTCGTCTTCTAGGCATTCTGTGAGGAAAGAAACGGAGCTTCCTAGAAGAAAACATTGCATTAATGAAATAACATATATAATTATTAATTTTTTATTAATAGTTATAAATTAATTCACAACTAAGCAATAAGTAAAAAGTGACTACAAACTTTTTTGCAATTCCCACTTTGAAAACCGTTATTCTAACATGTATAAACATAAAATTAAACGAAGGCCTTTAAGTTACGAAATTATTTCTGAATTATTATTATTGCTGTTTTGATTTGATTTAATTTAATTTAATTCTTTTGCGTCTGATACAATATTTGTTACTCTTATAAAGTCCTCCATAAGAACATACCATAGGTAGATAGCCCTCAACTTTGCTTTGCCAAATTGATTAAACAAACAAACTCGATAAAAGCATGTGATAATAAGGCATTTGGTAAATAATTACAAGAAAGTTCTCAAGTGTTGATTACGTATTAAAAAAAAAAACGGTTGTTAACGTTGGGGATTCTCATAATGCATTCATAAGTTCAAATATATTGACAATTGAAACTTCAACGCTTTTAACTGCGTGAGAAATGAGCCGAAAGAAATTTATTAACAATAACATTTTCTCAAAATTATTGATGACTTATGTTTTGCAACAAACTTTATTAAATTCGACAGCATGCCATTAAATAAAAAAAGCTATGAAACTCTAATAAAATTTATAAGAAATAAATATTTAAAACAAAATAAAATAAAATATATGCAAGGAAACTGCTAAAATCTAGCGAAGCAAAATATTTAATAACACAATAAATAAAAATTTCAATTGTACATTGTAAGTAAAACATTGAATACAAACTGCACCGAAATCGTGTTTATCTAGATGTAAAGATTACCAGTTTTGACTTTTAATAGAATGTATACTGTGGGCAGTTACTTCTAAATAATTACAACTCAGATAGAGCATCTGAGTTGCAATTATTTAGGAGTAACTGCCCACAGTAGATGTTTTAGGATGGGGGTCACATTTTCAACTTCTCCGTGTTTCTAAATTGGTGTGTATTGGTGTATTGGGAATACGGCAAAGCACATTAGGGCTATCTGCCTAGGGTAAGGGATGCCTTCGTAGAGGACTTTCTAAGGGAAACTGGTTCGTATACACGTTACACATGGGGAAAATCACGAAAACGCCCATGAGGCCAGCCCGTTCGCGGGATTCGAACCTCGGACCGAACTACCAGTGTTCAGCGATTTTACCGCTCGGCCGCTGGTGGGCCCGTGTTTCTAAAAATTATTAGTATCACAACATTAACTTTTTATTTAATTTTATAAATTTAAATAAATTTCTTCGAATTTGGGAGTCTGAAATTATGTAACATGAAAGCTGTAAATAAATTTCTTCATAGTTAGTTATTTAGAAATTATGTAACGTGAAAGCTGATCTTAAAGTGGGGTTCGATATTCCACCCAGAATAAAGATACTTATTTTTCCGAAGAGAGTTTTTAAAAAATGATGTTTCTTTTAATTAAATATACTTTGTGAAAGCGTAGAATAATCCTATCAATGTAGCTTTATTAACTGAAGACCTTGCTATGCCACACAGTTAACTGTATTTTTTAACTAACTGGTTAGGGTTACTTGATTGGTAAATTAATTTCGTAACAGTGATTGCCGTATAGCAAAATTTATTTATTAATTTCTAATACATTAATTCTGGCTATCTTTAACGTCTGTGTGCTAAGATAATTATGATAGACGTTACTATTATTTTAATACTTTTTGCAATGATATTTTGCTAAATCCATTATTCGAAATCAGTATTAAGCGTAGTGTTTTAATCTAAATTTATTGTTTGACTTAACGCAAAGGTTACACAAAAATACAATTTCCCACCATAAAAGAAAAATTTGGATGTACAATATAATACCTTGAAATTGATTTTGTTAAAAAAGTAAATATTAAATTATTTAAGCAATTGTTAAAATCCATAAAACGAAATTATTTTTATCTTCAGCAGGTCTAGAGAATTGATAATGCTAAAGCATAATGGCACAGATATCAAATTAATTTGATGATAATTTCATTTTCAGTGTTTTGATTAATTTTCTTAGATTTCTTTAGCTAAGTTCTTTAATACTTTGGACTGTCTGCGAAGCAACGACTCCGCAGGATTCCAGTCATATTCTCCTCATTCCAAGAGCCAGAATTATAGATTGCCTTTTAAAATAACAAGAGCTACTGTCTAATTTAATTCTTCATTTTGCGAACACGAACTATACTTAAACCATTTTTTATACCATTATCAGTTCAATTTAATACATTATTTATGTACTTATTTTTAATTTAATTTATTTATTTATGTAAAACAATCAAAAATATTACTTGGTAAATTGATTTGGTAAAAGAAATGCTAATTTTACAGATTTGAAATTAATGTTAATTTTTATTCAACGAAACTACTATAAACTATTACTCTATAATCTTAATATTTAATATGTAAAGTGATTCAGGTCGTATTCACAAAGGGAAAGAACGACGGGAGCGCTTTGGAGTGTTTCTTTAAATTCTAATAACTTCACTACGACTAGTTAAAAAAGAAATTCTTCGCAGAATTTTAAGTGATCATTAATCAGGCGAGGGTCTTTTTTTCTTGCAACCACTACTTAACAAACCTCTTTATTCCTGTATATATATAAATTTAAAGATTAAATGCCTGACATTTTCCTTCAATACTGTAGAATGTAAATAAGAAATAAACTTACCTGATTCCGATTTCGTTTAAAGTTTAAATTGATGCTGTTTCATATTCAAATGTAAATTCAAACACCAGAGGGAAAAAATCCGCGCTCGAGTTTCCTATACAGCTGTAAGTAAATAAAGAACGCAAAATCAAAAAGCTCCCCACGCCCCTCCCTCAACCGAGAAGGAAAAAAAAAGCTCTATTTAGTTGAAAGCAGTAGTAGTTGGAAAGTTTAGAGCATCATATTGGACTCTAAGTGTGTGTTGTGTTGACTTCCGACTTGGTATAACAAGCCGATAATTAGGTGAACGCCTAATCGGGCTCTTTGGCTGCGAGAGAACGAACGAAGAGCATTGAGCTGTTATGAGAGGAATCAGATGGAAAGGAGAGCTCTTAACCCCGCCCCGGACGTGATCTAGGCGGGACCGGAGGCCGGAGACGATTGGGTGAGCGCCGCTTACGTCACGGTGATGGGGCAGGGCCGTGGATGTCGTTAGTGACCGGCAGGGCAGATCCGGAGGAGGATTTGCATGCAGAGGGGCGTAGTTCCTGCGGACGTGGAACTGGCTGTGTGCCTTTCATATTACCTAAGCGACACTCCACGCTCGGAGTTTAGCCGGAGCGCTTCCACGAGTGCTCAGGATTGGAAAAGTCACTCACTTTGGCTTAGCCAGCCGTTTGTAGCTTGAGTGTTTACACGGTCAGCGCACGTGGTCTCGACCCAGGCCGACGGGGTCAGCGGTCGGATCCGCGCTTTATGATTCGATTACTAATTTCAAGCCAAATGCCACGTGTTTCGTAATTTCGATTTTATCCATTTGTGTGGTGATTTTTAATACAAACTGCTTTCGTCATGATGCTTAGCCATAAGGGTTATCCGGACTCCAGTTGTAGCATGGGCACGATGCAACCCATGAGTGCCATGAGCAACAGTTACAGTATGAATAGTGCAACGGCATCATCCATGAGTATGGCGGGTATGAACTATTCACAGCAAAGTTTTGGCACCAATATGATGTCCGCATCGGCGATGGGAGGCATGGGTCCCACTGCTGGCATGGGCATGGGCGTCGGAGGCACTGCTGGAACGTGTATGTCTCCGACGATGACATCCATGACCCCTCTGGGTGGCATGAACTCCCTCAATCAGAGTATGAACGGTATGACTTCACCGGCTTGCATGGGATCTATGACAGGCTTAGGAAGTATGAATGCACCTCTCGTAGCTGCTGCCGGGCGTGATTTCGGAGGCCATGGAGGAGCGGGGGATGGATCCGCAAGCGCAGCCACTGCAGCCTTACAAAGGGCCAGGGCAGATAAAACCTACCGTAGGAGTGATTCTCATGCTAAACCCCCGTATTCCTACATCTCTTTAATCACGATGGCGATCCAAAACAGTCCCAGCAAAATGCTGACTCTCAGCGAAATCTATCAGTTCATCATGGACTTATTTCCCTATTATAGGCAGAATCAGCAGCGCTGGCAGAACTCTATCCGTCATAGTCTCAGCTTCAACGACTGTTTTGTGAAAGTCCCAAGAACACCGGACAAACCCGGAAAGGGAAGTTTCTGGACTCTTCATCCCGACTCCGGTAATATGTTCGAGAACGGGTGCTATCTACGTAGGCAAAAGAGGTTCAAGTGCGAAAAGAAAGAAGCCGTCCGTCAGGCTACTAAAAGCTCCCAGAGCAGCAACAGCAGCCCGTCCCCAGCAGGCAAGGGAGGTAGTGACAGTAGAATGTCTCCGCATCCCCATCAGCAACAGCCGCATCACTTGCAACAACACCATCATGTTCAACGAGGCACTCCCAATAGTAGTCCTCATGCCATGAACCCTCAAGGGTATGGTGGTCACCAAATGACCCCACACCCAAGCAATTCACATTTAGTTGAGGCCTGCAAAGCTGAGGACCCATCTTGCTGCAGTCCCCCAATCAATGGTCAGAGTGTGCACCATGCGGCCCTGGAACATCAACTTGCGGCCATCCACCCGCGGAATTTCACCGAAGCTGCCGTCCTGCACCCCGGAATGCTGGCCGCAGGACAACTGAAAACAGATCCTCACTTCAATCCTTCTAATCATCCATTTTCCATCAACAATATCATTGCCAGCGAGAACAAAGCCGACATGAAACTGTACGACATGGTGCAGTATGGAGCGTACGCTCCCTTGTCCCCAGTAGGGCCGGCCGGACAGCACTCCTTGCCCAATGATGCCTCTTCGTACTACCACTCGTCGATATATTCTGTTCATCAGTCTACGACTTCGGGCATGTAGGTAATTAACTCAGTGGTTCTTCATTCATTATTTAAAATAATTACTGAATACTAAACAATGCTATAAATTAACTTTTCGTTTAAAAACTCATAGTTGATCTTAAAATATGTAAATTAATATTATATTTAATTGTAAATAACGTTTTCGTGCTTAACATAAGCATAATTTCTTGCAAGCTTCATAAAGATAATGAAATATTAAGAAATGTTTACATCACTTTGTAAGAATTAAATGTTGTAATTTTTTCAAAGCGTAATATTTAAAGAATACGAAAACTTTAATTTTCTAATTATACAACTGTTATTTCTTTGCTGCAAAAAAAAAAAAAAAAAAAAAAAAAAAAAAGCTTTAAAAAAGTACTCTTTTTTCTTTATTTTGTAAATTGAAAATGTTTAATGATTACTGAAATAGCTTATCCATTAATAAATTCATAAATACTTATAAGCATTTTACATGTTTAATGCGTAATTTTTTAATTGTGTAATTGCTTTTTATATAGAAATTTTTGTTTCTGTTTGCTATCAGAATTCTTGCCAAAAAACATCAATTCAGTCAGTTAGCATAACTGAAATCTATTGATTTATTTGTTTTTGTTACTGTAAGATAAGTAATTTCTGATCTTGTAGATATGATTAAGGCGTTTTATATTAATTACTATTTTTAAAACACTTAAAGAATAATTATTTATTTTACTTGCATTTATTTCCAGTAAAATAATGCGGATTTGTCGACTAAAATGTCTGAATTTTACAATTTACCTTTTTTAATGAACGTTAAGTCTTTTCTTGGTGTTACACTGCTTTAATTGTATAAATGATTACATAAGCCGTTTTTAGAATAAAATGCGTTTTTAGCAGTACGTAACATTTGCTATTGTTATTTAATTTGATTAGATAATGTTGAAATTTAATTTTACCAGTGGCATTTTAACAACGCTATGCATTATTATCATGAGCAATCCCATATATTATTTTAGTGTACGTTTAAGAAACAACAATATATATTGTCACAATTTATTTAAGTGAAGAAATTTAGAATTTAAAGAACTAATTACTCTACTTTCTTTTTATTTCCTAAATGTTGGAACTGAAATGTGTAAAAGGTTTAAATCTATAATCATCTAACTTATGATAATTTATAATATCTTGTTACCCATTCTGAATAACCTTTGTTCATTTACATACTCAAAACGTTCTAAATCTTTTCTGTGGGCTCTGTTCAAATAATATGCCAGAGAACTGAAAATTTATAGCACTTAACATACCATGCCTTTGTAATCCCGGGCTTTAAGCATGAACATTCTTAAAATAAATAAACGACAGAAACAAAAATTTCAAAATAAATTTTTTGTTTTTTCAAAATGTACCTGATAAACTACAGAATTAAAAACCATCATTCGTAATATACACTGCAAATAACAAGTCGATATTTTAATTAGGAAATATTTGTTTTTCTTAAGTGTATTGCAGTTTAGAAATTCCATTTAACCTCTTACTAGATTTAAGGAAATCTTGTAAATACCTTTTTAAAAAAATGATCACAGATTTCAGATCTTTCGAATAGGCTTGAATTTTTAAAATGCTTAGTTCACACTTTTCAACTTAAAAAAAAAAAAAAAAAAAAAAAAAAAAAAAAAAACCTCGGAAAATGCTTTTTTTTTTTTTTCAGTTTTTACATTTGCAGCTGCAAATGATTACTATTTAAATTGTTACTCTGTTATATTTATTTATATGAAAGCAGTATTTACTAGAGAAGTTATTTCGCATTGATAACTTAATACTGGAATTAGCTTTGTTATTTTATTATTATTAACTTTAGAGAATAGCAGCCGATTACCTATATATGTTATAAACATTTTCTGAAAAATGAACGCAGTTTTATTGAGACATAATTCTTTATCTAAAACATTCGGTAATATTTTTTGAGAAATTGACCATGAAGTAAAAAAGTGTTATACAATATTTTCATAATTAAAGAGAATTGTTCTTGCTATTTTCTGAAACATTTTAAATCATTGTTTGGATATAATCGTATATATTTGAAAGCATATTGAGGAAATATATCATTATTTTCAAACAAGATTTTATTAATTTAAAATTTGTTTCAATAATAAAGCGGTATACTTTTCTTATTTGCAATGAATCTGCATCTTTCAGCAAAAGTGAGATGCAGAAATTTTCCATACTTGGATTGAAAGATACAGACTATTTGGGAATTAAAAATAATTAATACTTTGCAGTGAATCTGTAACATTCAGTATAGGTTCTATACTGAATGTTACAGACTACTAGGTATTCAGTATAGGCATTTCTAATTTGCAGTGAATCTGTAACATTCAGTATAGGTATAGACACAAATTTTCTCACCTTAAATACATGACTTCAAAAAAGAAGTAAGAAAGGAAAGGAAAAAAAATCAAAAGGCATTTCTTGAATTTAAATTATATAGCATTCATTTAAAACTGTTTAAGTAAGAAAATAGTCGATCCCCTTTACAATTCCTAATTGGGCCATCCATGTGAAAAGTACATAGTCAATTATTTTTGATTGCAACTCATAAACAAATTTCATTTTTTATTCTGTTAGAAGGAAAACTAAATTCAAAACAAAATCTGTTTACTTTCACATTCTTTGTTTCATTATACGTACCCACTAAACTATAAGTATTTATTTAAGAAAAGTCCGAAGAAAAAAGCCTGCTTTCGTAAAATGCACTCCGAAAATGTTCAATGCGTAATAGTTAGGGAATGATAATAGGTTAATTACAAGGGTTTGCTTAAACTAATATTTCAGTAAAATTGAAATAAAAATGCTTCACTCAGCATTTTACACTTGAACCATTTTAAGGCTCAAGAAAGATTTCCGAGGTATTAAATATTTGAGCATCAAGAAATTTTTATTTCAGTAAAATATTTTTTATTGTTGCTTTATTCCTTTAATTTTATAACTGTTAACACAAAATTATTAATTAAGTTTCAACAAGTTGAACAAATTTAGTTACTAAAGTCAGAACTTAAATATTCGGAAAGCAAATTCACTAACTACACAAGTTTGAAAACATTTATCTTAAGCTCTCAATCTTAAACAAATTTACTGACAATTCTGTTATATAAATTAGTGAAAAGCTTCTCATTAAAATATTTAATATACTACTTTTGATACGCATAATCTTTAAAGCCGAAAATTATATAACTTGGACCTCGATTTGTATAAGTTAAGAAACTGATTTCAAAACAAATACTTTTAACGCTGGGAGAAAATTATGTAATAAAGCATAGCAATAGAAATTCATTACAAAAAACTTAAAACATGTCCTTAATTAAAATCGAAAATTTTTGCAACGTCTTCAGAGTGGCTTTCAAGACCACTAACCATTTAAATGTTGATTTTTATCAACAGACTAGTCTAACTGATGTAAAAAATAAACAGTCAGATACTAAGATTACAAAAGGCGCCTAAGATTGTTGTGATTTCATTATCAATTGCTGATTACACAGAAGACAAAGGAAACACGGAAGTGTTAAAATATCTGTCAACTTTATCAAAATTAAATATTGTACTACTTTTTATTTATTTATTATTTTATTTACTTTTGCTTCTGAAAATTTTAAAGTCTGTAAATTGGTTTTGTGTCGAATTTCATGTAGATTAAGTTTTAGTCCATAAAATACATAAAGCAGTTATACTTCATGCATTTATAGACCAAAAAATCTGTGTTTAACAGATGTATTTTGTGAAGTAAACTTGCTTGTTATTATATGAAAGCTTTTTTTTATTAATTTATTCTCGGATTATACTTAAAATTTAGCTCTTTTATTGCTTCTGTTTCTTTTAACTCTCTCTTCTTTTAATTCTTTTAATACTCTCTTTTGCACAATTTTTAATCAGTGAATTTTACAGTTTTTATCTAGAATTTCATGTTCCGTAATGTAAATTAATGGCTTAGTGTAATCAGTTTTTGAAGGTGGGTTTTGGCTTACTTGACACAGTAATTATATATTAAAATCAGGCGATGATTGTAAACTAGAAATTTTTCTGCACTACATACATACGCATGTTGTCGACATTTCTGAAGAAAAAAAAAGTAATTTCAAAACTAACTTTTTCTTTTAAATGTATTCTGACGATAGTGTAATATGGACTTTCTCTAAGCATATTTTGTTTCATTAGTCATAATAAATGGAAGTCATCCTAAAAAGTTAAAAACAACGTTATACTTAACCAATCTTAAAGAGTAAACGATAATCATTCCCTATAGTTAAATGGATTAATTTATCTGGATAAATTAAAACTTAAAAAGAGGTATAAAGAAACTTAATAAGAGGCAAAAATTAAAAACATTTTTTTTTTTTTTTTTTTTTTTTTTTTTTTTTTTTTTTACCCGTCCTGCGTTATAGCTGCAGGATTGAAGTAAAATAAACTTAAAGCATCTACAGTAAAAGTAAATTGGAACTGCATCCTTGTATAAGAGGTTTGACACAATATCTAAACAATTAAGTTAAACCTCTTATACAAGGATGCAATTATTAATATTGAGGAATTGCCTTGCTTTGACTCCAGTTTACTTTTACTGTAGATGCTTTAAGCTTATATAAATATATATATATTGGTACAAAAAACGATTTTAAAGAGATGAAAAAATGTTCCGAGTTGCGTCAGTTTTTTTACCTATCTTTTATGTAAGTTGTATTTTCTTATTTTTCACTTTCTCAAATGCTGGTTTCAAACTCATTTGATGTAAATGAGGCGTTAGCGATGTGATACATACAGCTCCAAGCATTCAACAAATAAGTATTTACGCTGTGTTGTACTTCTTTCGATTCAACGTTTTATCGTTTCACTGAAGAAATAAAAGCTACAGTAACGACTGCAAAAGTACTCTCTTCCCTTAAGAGAAAACTCTGGGCTAATCAAAAGCTGGTTTGAAATGCTGTTAGAATGTCAACAAAGAAAGGAAAAAAAAAAAAAAAAACTTAGCAAAGGCTTTGAGAAAGAGCAACTTAGGTGGAAAATTTTTATTTATTTATTTATTTTA